ACTTTCCTTATCTTAAAAATCAACATCAGCTGAGACAATTCTTAGGTTTAGTAGGGTATTTTAGGAAATTCATAGCGGATTTTGCACTCTTTCGAATTGGAGTTACTAGCTATTGTTAAAACACTAAAACGGTTTAGATTTTATTTAATTAGTTATGATTTTAAAATCATTACATATTTTAATGCGGTTAAAAATGCATTAAATAAACAAACTATAATACCACGGATTGCTCAATGGGTATTATCTTTGCAAGACTTTTCTTATACTATTGAACATAAAGCAGGGTCTCAAATGCAACATGTAGATGCCTTAAGTAGAAACTTTGAACAATTAGATCATGTGGATAATGTTTCGCTAATTCAAGAAAGCGATTATTTGAGAGAAGCTCAAAGTCAAGATCCAGAGCTGGGCAAAGCCCTCAGTAAAAGGGCTTGAAGCACTAAGCCCTAAGCTCTCTATCAAAGTGCTTCAATTTCAAGCACAAATTCCTTTTTATTTTCAAAAGTGCTTCACAAGCACAAAGCCCTCAAAGTGCTTTGGGCTTGACAAGCGCAAAGCCCTCAAAGTGATTTGAAAAGTGCTTGAAGCACATCAAAAGTGCTTGGGGTGCCTTGAAAAGGGCTTCAAGCTCTTTTAATGTGCATGAAGCTCTTTATATGTGCCTGAAGCACTTTGAATTTGTAATAAAATTCTCAAAGTGGCATAAGCTACCGCGTATACTCATCACACAGAATTGGTATAGTAGAGACGAACTTTACATTTCACAGAGTAGCAGTAGTAAAGTGTGTTTTTTTTTTTAAGATAATTCCCCAAGTCAAAAATTTAGTAACTATGTTGGCAACACAAGCCTTTTACATAAAAAAATTGAGAGCATTGACAATTTAGATTTTATGTTTTTTTTGAGGTGTAGTTCTGGGGTACTTGGAGTAGTTGGGATACTACATGGTAATTCAATTTTAAGGTTTTCAAAATGTTCAATGGGGAAAAGTGAAAAAAATCCAGTGATAAAGTTAAATAGGATACCAAGATAAATTAATTATTTATTTGAATAATAAGTTCATTCATTTTTTTCTTAAATTCCATTCTAAGCTCAAACCCAAAACCTCCATTGTTAAGAGAGAAAAGACATAAGACAGTTCAAGTTCAAATAATAGAAAAAAAAATTAAAGGACAAAATACGATCGAAAATTTTTAAGTGGGGTTGAATGATGGTCAATTCCAAGTGCTTCAAGCCCTTTTAAAGTGGTTCAAGCCCAGTGGCGGATCTAGCATGAAGCAAACGACGCACTGTGCGTCGGGCCCCCAGAGCTGAGGGGCCCCAATACAACCAGATTCTAAAGGGACCGATAAAAATAAATAAAAAAAAATAAACTCGTAAAAAAAAAAACGAAAATTAAATTTTGAAAGAGACGGCAACGTTGCATACCAGGATGCCTATTCTTGAAACCGGGGAACAGCGTTCTCACGAGCAATAACGATTGCTCTGTCTTTGTCAGTGTTATGGAAATAGAAATATGGGCAACTAAGACAGAACGCTTATCTCTTGTTTCGACAATAAAGGCCCTGTAGGGAATCCAGGGCTGGAATTATGACAAGTAGAATTCCACTTTCATGACGTCATTCGCGACACATTTATCGCGTACAGAGCTGGCGATGATGACAATTGTTAGGCAACCTGACGTCATAAAAGAAAAATTCTAGTAGAATGTCGTGATCCCAGCCCTGCGGCGCGTTCAGATTGAACGCCGGGTGTCGTCTGGCGTTATTCCCATCCTTTATATTTGTTTTTCTTAAGATAAGGAGATAATGATCGCCGGGCGCGTCCGACGTTTAATCTGAACACGCCCATGCACTCGACGCGATAATGCGGCAACCGCGGACGCGCCGACTTTTGGCGACTTTTTTAGTTATTAGACAATTTTTCGCGAGGATAATCAAGCATAATCTGATTATGCTGGATTATGTGATGTGTCAATTGTATCATACTCCTCTAACTTCCTCTACATCAAATTCTGGGCCTGCGAGTGACGTCACTACTATCAGGCGCTTGTAGTGATGACGTCACCCGCAGACCTCGATGGAATGCTTGCGATTCAGGCTGTGCTAGTGTTAATTTTTTCGTCGATTTCAAATGTCGAAAAGATGATTTTTGGTCTGTTCTCTCAGAAGAAATTAATTAGGTGTTCTTGATCCTCGAGTATCTCAGGATTTGATGGTGGAGGAGTTAGGGGAGTATGACACAAATGACACATCATATAATCCAGCAAAAGATTATGCTTGGTTATCCTCGCAAAAAATTGCCTATTGTCTTCCAAACTCAAATAATTTATGGCACTTGTCGGTGGAGTACGGACAGTATCAGTGCAGTGCGGTACTACTATGATGTATTTATTTTTGTTTAGATAAAAAGTTCCTGATTTTTTATATATATTTTTTTTTTCGTTTAACTTGTTTTCTGTCTCATATGTTCTTGATAAACTTGTTTTTTGATCAAATTTATTTCTATATTTGGTTGTTAAAAACTTCAAAAATATAAATAACTTCTGCACACTCACTTTACACCCCAACACCACAAGAAAAATACCTAAAAAAAGCATGACAGGGCCCCAAAAAAAATTTTTGCGTCGGGCCCCAAAGGTCCTAGGTCCGCCACTGTTCAAGCCCTTTCAAAGTGCTTCAAGCCCTTTCAAAGTGCTTCAAGCTCCCAAAAGTGCTTCAAGCCCTCTTAAAGTGCTTCAAGCCCTTTCAAAGGGCTTCAAGCTCCCAAAAGTGCTTCAAGCCCTCTAAAAGTAATTGAAGCTCATTGAAAGGGCTTGAATTACTTTTTTCAATTACAAATTACCAAGGACTTTTCTAAAGTAATTGACTTTGCAAGCCCCAATTACAAATCTATAAAAGGGCTTGAAGCACAGGGCTTTCAAGTCCTCAAAGTGCTTCAAGCACTTTTGCAAGCACAAAGCACTCAAGCCCTGCCCCAGCTCTGGATCAAAGTATTGTAGAAATTACAGGTATTTTGCTAAGTGGTGATTCTCAAGATCATAAAGGTAAGGAATAGTACATTGTGTATTTAGGTGAAAAAGTGACACATTCTCGGCCGACGGTGTAAGTTGACGGGCGAGGCGTAGCCGAGGCCGGCAAACACCGAAGGCCGAGAATGTGCTTTTCCACCGAAATATACATACTATTTTTTCTGCGATCGGTTAAATTCCTGTTAAATGTTTGTCTTTAAGTTCCAATTATTCAGCAGTACGAGAATCACTTTCCCGGCCTAGGCCGGAAAAGTGTTTCCCGTATTGTTATTCATTGATTCCTTAGCAGCTATTGAAACATAATTGAAATACCAGAATATTGAGTTTTGCTACCTGTAAACCAGTCAAAAATTGTTTCTTGTTGCATCTTGTCAATCGCAGAAAAAATAATTTGCGTGGTAACACTAATTATAGGTTAACTCCTTATGGTAAGAGATGGCGGCTGGTACCTAAAAATTGTAGATGGCAAATAGTCAGAGCAAATCATGGCGATATAGGTAATTTTGCCTTTGGCGTAGCTAAGAGGGGATTAGGGGGGGCTAAAGTAGCGTTTTCCTAGCAACGCACATTTTACGCGGCGTAGAACGTAATACGGCCGACGCAACGCAACATCCAATTAGCTGCGTAAAAGTGTTTTCCTAGGATTGTCAGTTGCGTCCCGATCGTCGCGATGAGTATATCAACAAAGAAATTAGCTTTGGCTTTATTATTATTACAAGATGAAATTTTTCAAGAAGAGATTGATATAATAGCCACGATTCATGATAGGAGGACTCGAAATTCTGCTAGTCAATTATTATTTCAAAAAAGAAGAAGCAAAAGAGCATTTACTTATATCCGCATAAACATCTACTTGTCGACGAAGTGTTAAATCATAATTTAGAGTTACAAGCCAGCAATTCTCATTCCTCCTTAATCGTTTGGGAAAAGATTAGAGTAAGGAACCATGTAATCGTGTGCGACATCCTATTTCGCCACCTGAAAAACAAGGCCTAACATTGGGGTATATAAAAATAATATTTTTTTTTCCAAACACGCAGCGTACAACTGAATAGACTGCTCTCCGAGCAGTCGTCCAGTTGCGTCGACCGTATTACGCTAGTGCAAGTCGTTTTTACGCTGTGTAGGAAAACACCTCCATTTGATTTTCATTAGACATGTCCTCAGCGTTTTACGCCGACCTAATTACGTTCTACGCCGCGTAAAATGTGCGTTGCTAGGAAAACGCTGCTTAAGCCCCCCCTACATTGAAAATAGCACCCCTGACAAATTATCAATCTGTCAAATTTATTATTTTTTTGAATCAATCAATTAGGGCTTTAAATCAGACACCGGCAACGCCGCGCGAAACCCAGATAAAGCATGACGTGTTTACTCGGCATCACCAAACACACACAATTATCTAATTTTCCACAAAATAATTTTAAAAAAATTATGAAACCTGAAATTAACCGTGTGTTTTTTTTACCTTGAAAATTTTCTTCTAAGGTGTTTGACCTTGAAACCAGAAAAAAATTTCGGCTCACTCAACTCGGGTTATAAATTATTTGATGTTCATAGAGCTTTTCTGCATGAAATCCATTAATTTTCGTACCAGATCTTGTGTTTACGTCTCTTTTTCTTGTTTTTTCGTATCTTCTGCAATTCTAGTAAAAAATTACTACAACATTAAAACCTGCTTGAAACTCTTCAGTTGACGCCATTTTTCCACTGCGCCAGTTAAAAGTTTCTGTTATCAAGTGGAAACAGTTACTGACAAGCGTTTCAGATAAATTTACGAAGGAGCGTAACAGTGGGGCATTTAGCAAGTGTTTGCTCGCCACAAGCATATTTTGTAGAGGCAGATGAATTTTGTTAGAGTCAGGGTGAACTCTCTAACGACTCTAACAACAATCAGTTAGATGCATCTGAGGAGTTGTTTGATTATACCTATTATAGATATGTATTCTATCAAAGAGAATAAAACAAAATATGTATAAGCTCCACAGATTGAGTTGCTTGTGGGTGGCAAAATGCTTTAAACTGGAATTAGATTTTGGTGCTGGAATATTGGTCATTCCAGAATCAGTTTTTCTTGAAAAATATGACTACAATTCACAAAATACTTCAGTTAGATTACGGTGTTACAATGGCTCTGTAATTAAACCCTCTGGAGAGTTTTGCGTACATGTTGAGCATCAAGGAAATATTTATAATATTTGTAGATTTGTTATTGTTAAAAATGGATCAGTGCCGTTGCTTGGTAGAGATTTGATAAAATTGTTAAATTTAAAGAAAGATTTTTCAGAAGCTGTTAACTCAGTTAGTGTTTATGATAATGATAAAAAAAATACCACTGATTTAAACAATTTGCTAGAAAAATACAAGTCTTTATTTGATAATAAGTGAGGATTATAATATAAATATGAACAAATTTTATTGAAAATTAAACCTGATATAAAACCGATATTTTGTAGACCTATTTACACCGATGCCTTTCTTACTAAAAGAGAAAATTAATAAAAAATTAGATGAATTGGAAAATCGGTGCGTGATTTCAAGGGTGGTTAGTTCACATACAAGGGGGAAAAATACGTATAATATGATCAGATGATAAAGTTACAGTTAATCGTTATCTTGAGGATGTGAAGCATCCATCCTCTACCATGTATTGAAGAGTTATTTGCAGCACTCCAAGGTGGAGCACATTTCACGAAACTTGATTTTCCTACTGCATAGAACAGAGCTGGGATCGTTACTTGAAAAAAGTAACGCGTTACTTTATAGTTACTTTTGCTTAAAAAAAAACTCGTTACTTAAAATTTACAGGTACTTTCGAATAATGATAACTTTATTTTCGTTACTTATTGGAAAGTAACGCGTTACTGCATAAATAACTATTTACGTCGAAAATTGCATTATTCCTTAATTTGACTCACCAACTCAGCAGTCCCAACAACCAAATAAGACCTATACGAAATACCAATATGTTTTTAGTTTGTAAGTCCGACTATGTGGAAGCGTTTTGTTGCAAAATTCAAACAGATTAGGGATTAAGCGACTAAATAGAGAACTTGGTTTTGGACCAAAGCCTCAAACCCGTATGGAAAGGAATACAGCTATTATCAGTGTTTAGAGTAGTGACTAGTGAGTATCCATTTCATTTAAATATCTTCTATGAAAATTAAGTTTGGAGTAAAAATATCGCATTACCTTGAGGTTTAGGCTGGTATTCCGTTTCCAATTTTCGTTACAGTTATACGTTCCGCAAATGTCGGTTGCCTGAATTAAGCCTAGTACTCATAACCGCGAAATTCGCTCTTTTTTTGACATTGCTTCGACAATTTGACGTTTAATTCACACATAAAACGTCAAATTGTCGAAGCAATGTCAAAAAAGAACCAGGGGCGCAACTAGCTTGTTGGTTTTGGGGGGGCTTGAGCCCCGGGTCTCTATAAGTCGATTTCGTGACAGTATATGATGTTTTTCAAATCTTACTACAGTACGTATGTCACAAATGCCTGAATTTGACGGAAATACTGTGCTATAAATTTTGTTCTTCGATATAATCTAAATCTACTTTCTTACTTAGTTAAAAAAAAAAAAAGTTATAAAAGACGGCAGCGTTCACCAGATACAAACGTTGGTAAACGCTTTGCGATTATTCTGCTGAACGCTACGTTGAATTTGTGTTGAAACCAAAAATGCTTTTTAAACGGTCGCCATTTTTGCAAGCATAATTTGAGATTGTTTATAACTTTCAACACTTTTTTTGTGCTTTGTGTGATGACATGACATTCAGAGGGTGACATCATTGGAAAGTCGAATCGTTCAGCAGAACCAAGAGTTTACCCAACGTATTCGGTTGGTATTTGTTCTGGTTCTGGTGAACGTAGCCATTTTTATGTACAGGGTGTTCCCTTATATTTTGACCCCTACCTACAGCTTCAGCTATACGAGATGGAAAAAAACTTTAAATATGAAAGTTGTAGGGTATTATGTCAATTATCTTTTGCGAATGTCAAAACGGGCAAATGACAGGTGCCAACTATCACAATGATAAACACTTGCATTTTTCAAATGGAACACCCTGTATATTTTTTGGCTAGAATGATAGATTTTTTTCTTCTGATTCCAAATATACTATACATGTTGATATTTGGTCCAGCTGTTTTTATGCTATTCAAGTTTAAAAATGCATTTACATTACCCTTAATTTAATCTGTCCTGGTTTTTTTATATCAATGATGAGGCTTGCTCAATGCAATTTTAAAATTAATTACCGCTTACCGCAAAAACAGCAGAACCAAATATCAACATATATGGTTTATTTGGAATCAGAAGAAAAACATCTATCATTCTAGTCAAAAATATACAGGGTGTTCCATTTGAAAAATGCAAGTGTTTGTCATTGTGAGAGTTGGCACCTATCATTTGCCCATTATGACATTCGCAAAAGATAATAGACATAAAACCCTACACCTTTCATGTTTAAAGTTTTTTTCCACCTCGTATAGCTAAAGCTGTAGGTAGGGGTCAAAATATAAGGAAACACCCTGTACATACATAGGTACATAATATGTAAGTAAAAATATATTGAGTTTAAAACTTCTTAAACTACTTAAATCGGTACTAAAAACAACTTGAAAACTGAACAAGTTCCGTTAAATTAAATTCTTCCTAAGTGCACAAACAGACACGGACCAGCAGACGAAAGGGTTAAAAAAAACTGTTGTCACTGGAACGCACTCTACTTTAAGCTTCGTGTTTTTGATGCCCCCATAAAATAGCAGGTGCTTGAGAGGGCAGGGGAGAGGAAAAACGAACAGTTCAGTTGCGCGAAACTCCAATGCACAGGAATGCCTATAAACAGTCCAGGGCGCTCCAGAGCAGCTCAGGAGTGCTTAAAGTGCGTCACTGGAAAGCGACTCGGTTTGGGAGGGCGGATGGCTAATTTGTGTCATTACCATCATGTTTGTGACTATCGGGTTTGGGGGGGCTAATCTTGAGCTTGGGGGGGGCTAAGCACCCCCCAGCCCTCCCCTAATTGCGCCACTGAAAAGAACGAGTTTCGCGATTATGAGTATACCTACTAGGCTTTAACCGGTAAAGACGGAACGCGGTTGCTGAAAATGGTTATGTCAAACTTGTCACCGAGGCAACCGGCTATCGTGATCGGTTTTTCGGTAACAATCAACAGTCTATTCTTGGGTAACAGTAGACTGACTATCATATCAACTGTCAGTATCAAAGTCCCTTCTTCACAAAAACGTTCCGTATAAAACCGATCTTTCCAGCGACCATTACAATCGACGATGTATCGACCGGTTAACCAGGTTTGGAAACGGAACACAACCTTAGAGAATCACGTTATTTCAAAGTAACGCGTTACTTTCATCGTAACGCGATACTTTCATAAGTTTCATAGTTACGCGTTACTTTCATATAAACACGTTATTTTCATAGTAACGCGCTACTTTCATAGTAACTCGTTACTTTAACAAAATATCGATCTTCAGTTAGGTACTTCAGGAAAGTAACGTCGTTACAGTTACTTATCAATCAATCTGAAAAGTAACGAAGTTACCAAGTAGCGCGTTACTTTCAGTAACTCGTTAAAGTAAAGTAACTATTTTTTGTCGTTACTCCCAGCTCTGGCATAGAACCAGTTAGAGTTAGATGAAGAGACAAAAATGTTGCTTGCTTGGAGTACACACAGGGGAATTTATAAACTAAATAGCAGGTTACCTTATGGTAGAGTAGAAATCAAACGAGAAGAAGCCACACGCGTTATCGTTTGTCTCACTTTAAATGGGAGGGACCCAGAGAAAAGAAAATCTGCTTTCTTTGTCAGCGCTGATGACAATGGCTTCTTCTCGTTTGATTTTTACTCTACTAAACCTACTTGTTCGATTTTCCAGAAAATAGTGGAAAAAGTTTAAAATTAGCTTTATGGATGATATAGTCGTGACCGGTAGAAATAAGCAGGAGCATTTACAAAATTTAGATGCAGTATAAATTAGCGAAAGCGGGGTTTAGGTAGGCTGAATTTTTCCAAATGTAGGTTTTTTCAAAAAGAAATAAAATATCTAGGGTATATATTGATAAGGATAGGTTGCATAAATATCCAGAAAAAGTGAAGGCCATTGTTGTTGTTGTCAAACCACCGCATGATAAGACAAGTGTTAAATCATTCATTGAAATGATTTCATATTATTCTATATATTAAAGATTGATTAATTGAGATTGAGTTAAAGTGGACAAAAGAATGCCAACTGCTTTCTCTGAAACTAAAATAGTTATTTTGTCAAATCAAAATTTAGCTTATTTCAATCCCAAGTTACCGCAAGTTAGTGTGAGATGCGTCAAATGTCGGGCTAGGCGTTGTTCTGCTGCACATTTTTCCGGATGGTTCTGAAAACCAATAACTTTTGCATCGCGAACTCTTTCAAAAGCGGAACGTTGAGGAACAAAATTTTCCAATAAAATTAGTAGTAAAAGAATCCACTGTCAGATAGGGAAAAAGACGCGGTGCGGGAGGGGGGGGCTGATTTATATTTTTCAAACCTCTTTAACTACGGAACGGAACCCTTTGAACCGGTAAAATTACAGGTTTCTTCATTACCTTATAAGGCAGTGAACCCCTCGTGGCTGTGATTGGTCAGTCGCCATACAACATCCCTAGTTTTTTGCGATCTGGTCCCTGGCAGAGCTAGACGACGCACATTCTTCAGTACTATTAAAGTGTGTTTTTTTTTTAAAGATAAAAGTCAAAATGACATTATGTTGTCAATACAATGTAAAATTGTCAATGCTTTCAATTTTTTTATGTAGAAGATGCAAGAGGCTTGTGTTGCCAACATAGTTACTAAATTTTTGACTTGGGGAATTACTTAAAAAAAAAAACAGACTTTAGATTAAGCGAAGAGTTCGCACCCTCGCGCCCTCTGAATGCTCTCCAGAGGCAAAAACACCCAAAAACCCCAGTTAGTACGCACGATTTATAGTAAAATACTACTCTCTGTGTCTCAAGGCCTGACATGAGCTATATTATTATAATTACAATTCATGTAATTAACGCCTAATTGTTGCAAATCACCTCCGTCGAGCAAAATTCTCTCCTACGCTTGTTTTTGGCTCTATCTCTCCTACTCTCGACGGGCTCCAACGGACCTGTAAATCATTGTTTTTTCTTTTCATCCCAGTGGAAAATTCCCTAGCTGCGAGTGCGAATAGTGATAAATGGATGAATAATCGCCTTATGGATTTATCTGTATGAATTGGATTAAGCAAGTAAGACCGTTACAATTTCTCTAACAGTCGAACAATAAGTTAATAATAAATACTGATTAGTGATTCGCTTGAAATGCACTATAAATTGAAGTATTTTCTAACCTTTAATGCAGAAA